CCGCTCCAAGCTCGCTCCCGGGAGGGACTACAATCTCAATACAAATGAGTAAACTAAATGTGGGATTGTAGTCCATCCCGGGAGCGAGCTTGGAGCGGGCAGCTACTCTACAACACACACAGGGACCATGGGGAACAGACGTAGCCCCCCTCCAGAAGGAAGGACAGTGTCAGAGATGATTGGAGGATCTACAGCCGAGTGATACACAAATAAGACACATTGTTGTTCACAGTTAAGGTTCTTGAATGTATTCTTAAGATTTAACTCAGGAGTTTAGTGTCACTTTAAGCTTGGCCCAGGCCTTTTGTTCAATGCCGGAAACACTCTTCTCACCAAAACAGCCAATGGGAATGCCAAACCAGCTCACTGCAGCTTAGAAGCACGTCGACTACAGGTCAGGTCAGATGCACCTGTGAAGGAACTCTCAAGGTTCTTTGTATCCATATGTAATACCGTCTTTATCTGACCTTAAACCAAGTGGGTAAAGTGGACCCTGGTGTGCTGGTGGCTTATCCTTCTACGTGTGGAACTCTCTAAGATTCTGATCTACATAGGACACTGAACGCATGTGATCGCTCTGTGCATTTTGCCAACTACACAAATCCTAAATGTGAGCCCTTGTTGCTCGTTTTTATTGCCACTTGAGAAATGAAGGTTGTTTTTTCTCCTTCAATGTTTCCTGCTAGACATAAATGTCATCAATAATCACGTAGAATATGGTCATAATTTCCTGCTCTTCATCTCTAATCCTCCTCAGCAGACATGGAAGATTTTATTCCAGTAAAACCTATACTCAGTGGAAGTGCTTTTCCTTTTTATCGGCAAAGTGCTTCTTCATTTTTTCCGAAGTGTAGGAGATGACTAAAGCTTTGTTGGGTTGTCTCAAACACTGGGTGCCTCGTGGATCTATAGTCTATTCATTTCTAAAATACTCACACATTCCACAAAACTATTTGTTGGGCATAGGGTTTGGGTGCTTTCATTTTACAATTATATGTCTTCCGTGTCCAGAGCTACAAATAAATACCCATACAGGTTAGGAGGAATCATGAACCACAGTCAGTGAAGGGGTTAGAAAGGGAAGTGGCTAGTACATAAGGAAAAAGAACCTACCAGCAGAGGGCTCCAGCACACGCATGACACCAGTGTGATTGCCAACAGCTGCACCACCATCTCCAAGTCATGAGAACGGGTTCCCCGACGGTGTCTCCTGCGGTCCCCTTCAGATTTTCTCTGCATCCGTGCTCTCAGCAAAGTAACCCCAACTATCATGTTGCATATAAGAGCAGCAGCCAGGGACCCCAGACCCAATCCGGAAAATAGAAGGCAAAATCCTGGGGGCTCCTGCAAAAAGCACCAGGTTCCTGAAGGTTGCAACCCATACGTTCCATAGCCGAGAAATGGAAGGGTGGACACCAGAAGAGCTACTGCCCAGGTCAAGGCCAGGCTTATCCGTGCTCGGTTGTGAGTAACCATAATGGCATGCCAGAGGGGTCTTGTAAGTCCGAGGCAACGTTCGCATGCCATGAGAAGGCCAAGAAAGAGCGGGGAAAGGCCGAAGAACACCATGCAGCACCCGAGAAATTGACATCCGCCCATTGATATTCCGCCATAGGAGTAGAGCCAGAGAACGAAGGATCCTGTGATGACATGTCCAGCCAAGTCTGTCAATAAAAGACCCGAAGCCAAGAGGAGGAACTGCGCTCTGGAACGTCGGAGCCGCCGAGAGTGGGAGTATGCCCGGGCAAGGATCCAGAGGCCGAGAGCATTGGATAACGCTCCTATAGCCATGGACAGGGATGGAAGGAGTGGGCTGGATGATTCTGATCGAGGAGGTGCGGTGGTATAGGTAGGAGAGGTCGGAGGCCAAGCAGAAAACATTGAGGAATAAGAGGAGTTGGAATGTAGGGGTGGGGACATTAGGAGGTGACAAGCTGATAGAAACCAGTGAAGCGACTGCTGAAGATGAAACATGCGACAGCCATTTCCAGTATGCGAGGAGGCAAATGTTCCAGAGAGGTGGATGGTGGGTTCAGAAGATAGGTATGGAGATGGAAATGTTCCAGAGAGGTGGATGGTGGGTTCAGAAGATAGGTATGGAGATGGAAATGTTCCAGAGAGGTGGATGGTGGGTTCAGAAGATAGGTATGGAGATGGAAATGTTCCAGAGAGGTGGATGGTGGGTTCAGAAGATAGGTATGGAGATGGAAATGTTCCAGAGAGGCGGATGGTGGATGAGTTCAGAAGATAGGTATGGAGATGGAAATGTTCCAGGTGGGCGGATGGTGGACGAGTTCAGAAGATAGGTATGGAGATGGAAATGTTGCAGAGGGGTGGATGGTGGACGAGTTCACAAGATAGGTATGGAGATGGAAATGTTCCAGAGGGGTGGATGGTGGGTTCAGAAGATAGGTATGGAAATGTTGCAGAGAGGCGGATGGTGGACGAGTTCAGAAGATAGGTATGGAGATGTTGCCATCATTATGAACACGCCGGATGGAGATGGAGAAGGAAAAAAAAGAAAAAAGAAAGTTATTTTTTATTCTCAGTTCCGAATCCCTCAACTGCGTCTTATCATGAATTCATCGATGACACGGGTACTACCACTAATATCCATGAAAGCTGGAACCACAACACTCACTGCTCAGGCTTATTAATTATGGCTACTTAACGCTCAAAACTTATTTTTGACCAAATTTGGTGTATTATAACAGGTCAGAAAAATAATACATTTTATAAAAAGGAATTTGAACTTATATTATTCACTTTTGGTCATACGTGCTCTTCAGGTGCCTTTTGTGTCCTATGGTAAATGTCCACAGGAGGGTTTATCACCACCTTTTATGAAGTTAGATCACCTTAGACTACCTTTCATAAAATTAGGTCACTTTAGACCTCCTTTTATACTTAGGTCACCTTAGACCTCCTTTTATAGTAAGGTCACTTTAGACCTCCTTTTATACTTAGGTCACCTTAGACCTCCTTTTATAGTAAGGTCACTTTAGACCTCCTTTTATACTTAGGTCACCTTAGACCTCCTTTTATACTTAGGTCACCTTAGATCACCTTTTATACTTAGGTCACCTTAGACCACTTTTTATGGTTAGGCCACCTTAGACTACCTTTCATAAAGTTAGGCCACCTTAGACCACTTTTTATAGTTAGGCCACCTTAGACCACCTTTTGTAAAGTTAGGTCACCTTAGACCACGTTTTATAGTTAGGCCACCTTAGACCACCTTTTATAAAGTTAGGTCACCTTAGACCACCTTTTATAGTAAGGTCACTTTAGACCTCCTTTTATACTTAGGTCACCTTAGACCTCCTTTTATACTTAGGTCACCTTAGATCACCTTTTATACTTAGGTCACCTTAGACCACTTTTTATGGTTAGGCCACCTTAGACTACCTTTCATAAAGTTAGGCCACCTTAGACCACTTTTTATAGTTAGGCCACCTTAGACCACCTTTTGTAAAGTTAGGTCACCTTAGACCACGTTTTATAGTTAGGCCACCTTAGACCACCTTTTATAAAGTTAGGTCACCTTAGACCACCTTTTATAAAGTTAGGACACCTTAGACTACCTTCTTATACAGTTCGGTCACCTTGGACCACCTTTTATAGGTAGGCCACCTTAGACTACCTTTCATAAAGTTAAGCCACCTTAGACCACCTTTTTTAAAGCTAGGTCACCTTAGAACACATTTTATAAAGTTAGTTCACCTTAGACCATCTTTTATAAAGTTAGGTCACCTTAGACCATCTTTTATAAAGTTATGTCACCTTAGACCACCTGTTATAAAGTTAGGACACCTTAGACCACCTTTTTTAAAGTTTGGAATCCAAGTGCCGGTGTGACCACTCTTCAAGGATCCAAGGTGTTACTTTTACTACTTCTCTGTGTCCCCCAAAAGATCTCAGTCCCCAAATAACACTCTACAAATCTGACCATCGTGGACCCTAGGGGGCTGCTCACTTCCACATAGAGCCCTGAGAAGCTCTGCTCCTTCTTCCAGAGTTACGTAGATAGTTGTGTTTAAATTTCCTCTATGACAACAAGGAAAATGTGAATGTTTTCCTTGGAACACAATAGATCCTTCTCCAGCTTGGAAAGCCATTATGAAACAAGACAAGTTATAAATACTCGTTCCCGAGTTGATTATTTTCCTGTCGTGGGTCACAAACACCAAATCTGTCACGAAGATTTATTCCAGAAGGTATCACATTTGGGTGGAACGGTGGACGCCTGTTCCTGATCTTCCTAACAGGTTACTTTGTGTACAATCAAACATTGTGGATTATCCTGAAATTCCATATTTATGAAGATTGTTAAAGCTGCACACCCTCCCAGTTGCTATGAGTTCCTCTGCCCCATACATCATGCCCGTAGTATCTAGAACGCTCACCTCTCTCTTTTTCGGGACGTCTGGGATGTCCGTTGGGAACGTCTTGTTCTCTCTTGAGTGACAATCCCGGGGTGTGTCTGCTTTAGCCACAGTCCATGGTGTGATTGTCCTATTACACTTGGCTGACTTACATGAAAGTCACGCAGGGTCCTCCTCAGATGCGCTCGTGTCTCTTCTCCGCATCGGTCTCTCGCTGATGGCCCCTCTTCTTTGCCCTCCCCCCCTCGGTGTCTCAGCTCAGTCCATTATCTGCACTTGTATCTCCCTCGTCTGAGCTCCCTCGTTGTATCTCCCTCGTCTCTTTCTATACTCCTCGCTATCATCCCTCTCACATCCTCCCCTGGATGGTGCCTCCTCCTTCCACGAGGACCAGGAGAAGGGTGAGAGAAGAGAAAGGAGGAAGAGTCCTGAGGAGACGTGTGATGAAGAGGGAAGACATTAAACTCTCGGGGCGGATATAAAAGACACAAATCAACCGGATTCAGGAAGGTGGAACTTTAAATAACAAATTCTAAAAGTGTCACCGGGCAGGAAGTGTGTTGCAGAGGAGACGCATGCGATGTCCCGTGTGCAATGAAGGGGTCGTCCCCCACCTGCACACAGTCTTCTGTACACTGACCTGCGTGCACAGGCTGCATGATCTTCATGGCAATGTGCACTGAGGTGCGCGTGCGTACAATGTCGGCATCTGCTGGGATGAGTGTACACTCGCACGTGCGCGGGAGTCACATCATCCCGGAATAGCCAATCAAAAGTGGCCAAAGATCCAAAAGCATCCAAATGAAGCAGAAGGTCCCGCGCTTGCTGGGGACCTTGGGGCAGCCGTCTTGGGGACCGTGCGGCAGAGCTGGGTGTGTGCTGCTGTACAAGGAGATGGTCGCTGACTATGAGGACCGCATGAAAGGGGTGTGTCCTCCATGCTGCCAGCTTGCCCTGCTCCGTGTACACACCGCTGCCTGGCTACCCTTACCTGCCAGTGTGCCCTCCTCCGTACACCCACTGCTACCAATCTACCTGCCAGTGTGTGCCTGCTGTAATTCTGCATTGCTGTATAATGTATTGCTGGGAGTTGTAGTCCTCTATAGCTGATGGTATTATTCTGCATTGCTGTATAGTGTATTGCTGGGATTTGTAGTCCTCTATAGCTGATGGTATTATTCTGCATTGCCGTATAATGTATTGCTGGGATTTGTAGTCCTCTATAACTGATGGTGTTATTCTGCATTGCTGTATAATGTATTGCTGGGAGTTGTAGTCCTCTATAGCTGATGGTATTATTCTGCATTGCTGTATAATGTATTGCTGGGATTTGTAGTCCTCTATAGCTGGTGGTATTATTCTGCATTGCTGTATAATGTATTGCTGGGAGTTGTAGTCCTCTATAGCTGGTAGTATTTTGCATTGCCGTATAATGTATTGCTGGGAGTTGTAGTCCTCTATAGCTGATGGTATTATTCTGCATTGCTGTATAATGTATTGCTGGGATTTGTAGTCCTCTATAGCTGGTGGTATTATTCTGCATTGCTGTATAATGTATTGCTGGGAGTTGTAGTCCTCTATAGCTGGTGGTGTTATTCTGCATTGCTGTATAAAGTATTGCTGGGATTTGGAAATAATGCTATCAGTGCATCCCCAATATAAAGTATCTTTTTATGCAAGCAGTGTTAATTACTGAAAATTGACTTGGTATCAAGCAGGTGTACAGAGGTACAGCAGAGCTCAGACTGGGAGAGGCAGAATAGTTGTGCTGTGGTGCTGATGTGCCAACGAGCAGCACGCTGACACAAGCAGAGAACAGAGTGCTCATGAGCTCATTGATCTGCTGCTTCTCTTGTCACTGTCCACATACAGACTAGTGGAGGGACGAACTCTGTAGGTGGCATTTACAGCCCAACTTAAGGCTTTCATTTGATCATTATGAGGGGCTCCCACCATCCCTGTGCTGAGTTCCCGGGTCTGTACACCTGCTGTGCCCATTATGAGGGGCTCCCACCATCCCTGTGCTGAGTTCCCGGGTCTGTACACCCGCTGTGCCCATTATGAGGGGCCCCCACCATCCCTGTGCTGAGCTCCTGGGTCTGTACACCCGCTGCATGCACCCGCACAGCATGCACCCGGCTGCATTCACTAGACTATTAATATATTATATTTATCAGCCCCTTGGATCTTATACATTGTTATATTCCATGCTGATGAGGAGAGAGCAGAGTGATGGATGAGCTCTTCTCTCTCCCCTCACTGGGGGGGGTGTCCTGGATGACCTGGGTGTGGGGGGGTGTCCGGGATGACCTGGGCTCAGAGGAAGTAGGTTGAACAGTGCTGGCCACCAAAGGACATCTAGTTGGAGAAAAAAAAGAGCTGATATATATTTTTTTCTATTTCACATTGTTTTAGTCTCATAGGATTCGGATGACGATTGTGACACTTGTAGTTCCCATAGAGATATCTTGTATTATACCTTCTATATACAGGGACGATGGTCATGGACATATGAGGAAATTACGCTCCCATGGCTGAAACTTAGTA